TGTGTGTCTTGGCATCCCTCTCCCACCATCCCAGCTTCCCAGTTTGCTGGTTTCATCTTTTAATCTCCAGAGTGACTCAAAACACACCCAACACTACCCTAGCTCATTAAGATAACAAAGGCCACCCATTCCCAAATGGGATTGGAACCACAGGCATGTCAGTTAGAATTTGCAGTGCATTTTGAGGAGACACAATTCAACCCGTTAACGGTGGTGAAGGCAGCAGGGACAACAGCAAGGAGGGCTAACTCAGGACCCTGGGGAAAACCCCAAGGGGTCCTCAAGTCCAAGATTAAACACAGTGTTCTCAGCTCCTTCAGAACTATGCTTGACCATGAATTGCCATCACACTGTTAGGGGGTGGGGATGGGGGTGATGCTTGGGTTGGGAGAACAGCTGAAAACGAGGGTAGGGCCTTGGACAGTCCTGCTCCTTTCTGGACTACTGCCCCCTCCTGGGGAGTCCCTATGGAAATTCATAATCCAGCCCCCAAAAGATCTAACCCATGACCTTGGCCACCCACTTGAGGATGCCCCACTCCTACTTGAGCCGTAAGGAGCTCTGGTAGCACAGTGGTTACGAATCAGGCTGCTCACCTGAGGGTCAGCAGTTCGAAACTACCAGCCGCTCCGTGGGAGAAAGATGAGGCTTTCTGCTCCAGGAAAAGGTTTACAGTCTCAGAAACCCTGTACAGGGTCGTTATGAGTCAGAACCGAAACCACGGCATGTAACAACTTGAGTTGTGTCCTGACAGGCTAGGAAGCTGGAGGCTTGCTTCCTCACCCCTCTCCCCCTGAAACCACTCCTGCCACCTCCGCCCAGCTCTGCTAGTCTGCTCCCACCTGCAGCTCATAGAGGCGCCTCCCCAAGTTGTAAGCTGGACCTGAGCAGCCCCCACTTAGCTCCCCTGAGTGAAGTCGGAAAAACAAAGACGCCACCTCCAGGAAGGCCATTAACAAATCTTTATTGAACTCTACTCGCTGCAAGGCACTGCGCTGGGTCGGGAAGGGGAGAAGCTCTAGTGAGGGCCATCTGACAGACAAGTGAACAGGGTCAGTAAGGAACCAGAAAAGTCAGCCAACAAACGCAATACAACCTGGGCGGGCCAGAGTCACAGCTCTGGGAATACGCGGCGCACGGAGGCCGGTGGCAAGGGAACTTCTACTTACAGACACTGGATGGAGTTGCTGGGATTACAACACTTTCAAGACGGCGCTTAGGCTGGACTGAGCCGTAATGCGTTACAGGTTCAAATACAGCAACGGTACCCACAGAAAATTAGTGGCCAAACTCACCAAGACGAGAAGGCACAGACTGCAACCCATCTTAGTGAAGGGAACACACCAGCCACCACACTGAACAGGTAGTCACGACAGTCGGGAGGGACAGAGGCCAGGAGGAACACCAGCCACGCAACTCAGCCTGAGAAGCAGGCACCCGATGACACTGGCTTGACACAAGGGGGACCAAGGAGGGCAAAGGCCATCCTGGCCAGGCTGCTCGGGGGTGCTGAGCAGGAAGGGGCCCAGATCTTCACAGGGGGCGCTCCTGCCCTCCCCCCAGCATGTTCCAAGAAAGCAGTTCTCATCCTCTCTTCATGTCTGTTGTCTTTGTCCACACTTCAGGAGATCTGCAAGGCCAGTCCCTTGTTCCGGTCAGGTTTCACGAACACAGGCCGCTGCCCTTGGGTTGGGTGTTCGGTTCTGGTTTAATAAATCTGGCTTGGGGCGGGGTACACAACAGGGCTGTGGACAGGGCAGGCGCCATGCCTTCTTGAGTACAAGATCAAGCAAACGGGAGAAAGACACCCACTATGGTCAGGTGGGGGTTAGTCCAGAAATGCAAGAACAGGTATAACACAACTAATCAACATAGTTTAATCTTAATAAGCAGCAAAAATGGTAAACAAGTACTTTCTTTTTAAAATCTCAACAAGTATTCAAAACTCGAAGAAAAGCAACAGAGAATTTCTTTCTTAATACAATTAAGAAAAGGATCTATTTCTAACAGGAGCCAGCATTGCACCCTAACCGCTCTCCATGGCCCTGGCCAGAGGAGGACATGTGATTAGGAGGGAAAAAAAAGAAATGAGGTAGATACACAAATGCATAGGCAAGCACACACACGAGTAAGCTGTGTCACACTCTGCACCTGACGTCACTGCACACCGAGAGAATCCGAGCCAATCTACCCCTCGGCTAGCAGAGGCAGATGTGAATTCCGCAAAACTACAAGACACAAGCGAATGCGCCGACTGGAGGCATTGCAATACAGCAGAGGTCGCCATTCCATCAGTGGTGATGGAAAAGACCCGGTCTTTAGTGTTAACTCTAAGAGAGGGTTAAAGAACATACAAATGGAGCAAAGTAAAGGAGTGCAGGAAGGGACACCGAGACGCTCGGTCCTGGGAGCATATAGAACAGAGTGAAGAGGACACTGTGGTCCCCGTTAATACTGCACCCAGACTTGAGCGGGCTCCTTCATCAAACCAATAGGTGAACAGAGAGCAAGAATGGCAGAGTACTTCTTGCGAACAGTGTTAGATATGCCTCCACGAGAATTGTACAAAACACGCAATCATTGAACAGAGAAAACAGACAGAAGGCATTCACTTAAGACATAGATTCAAAGTGAATGCAAGAAGCGGGCTCCAGAGCAAAAGGAAACACTATGAAACAAGCCAAGGTCAAAGTGGTCATCACAAGACCTGGCTTCCCAGGGAGGGGGCCTGGAAGCCCTCCTGAGATGAGCCTGTGAGAAGGCCCAGCTGCCAAAGTCACACTAGCCTCTCTGTGGAGGAAATTCTGCTGCCAGAAAGGTGTGACCTCTCTCGAAACCCATGCTTACTTCCCTCCTGGGCATGGCCCCTGGAAGTAAGCAGGCCTGGTGGGGCCAGCTCCACTTTGAGAGTTACAGACCCACACAAGTGGGGTCACTACCTCCTAGTTGCCCAAAGCAAAAGCCAACAGACCGCCTTCTTTCTGGTTCTTGAGTCGTTCAAAGGGGACGGTCCATGTGGCAACATCAGTTAGGTGCATCTTCCTGCATCCGCTGATTCTCTTAGGTGGTCCCTGGCTGGATTAGTCAACGAATATATACCAGGCACTGCCAAAACAAAGCTTGGACCACCCTGCTGATCAAGGTGAGGTCAGGCCACATGCTGGTGGCCAGGGCTGGACTGATAAACATTCGTGGGCTGTTCTGGCCAATCTGTGGTAGAAGTATCTCTAGTGCCTGAGTGGTCAAGTTGCACAATTCAGTCCTGGCCACCATACACATGGAGTGTATGAGTTGGATGAGGAATGAGCCTGCTTCCTGCTTCTCCCGCCCACTCCCCACCTATCCCAATCCCTAGTGCAGCCTGTCTCCCTCCTAACTCGGCTGCTTCCCCTCTCTGGGGTAAGGTGGCGGAGCAGGACTTTCAACTTTGAATTTGTCATTAAAATCCAATAAGAAAATGTCATCATATCCAATTTCTGCAGCAATGAAGCAATTCAAGTTCTGACCTAACTGACAAAGATGCATGTGCGAATACACAGAAATGAAAAGCTCACGCAAGTGTCACTGAACTGTTACAACGGGCAAAACGGTCAAACGGCGGAAAAGGAACCACTGAAAGTGATTCATCAAGAACCGCTCTAGAAGTCAATGTATCCACAGGGAATTAGGTAACTAGTCAAAGGAGATGAACAGACAAGGTGCACGCAGGACAATGGAAAGTGGCATCTCAGGTCCTCAAGGGAGAGGCTGAGATTAGAAGAAAATGAGACAAGGCGTTAGGATTGGAACTAATGGTAGTGGCTTACCTTGACTGAGCACAACACCTCCTTTCATGGGACCACCCCGTGTGACAGAGGCAACCACAGAGAACAGAGAAAGCCTCATAGGAGACCGAAAGATTGAGAGGTTCTGGGACCCCTAACCTTCTCAGGAAGGAGCCGCCACCTTGTATTTTCAATCAAAAAGTGCTGCAGGAAACCTGCTAGCCCCAAACAACCCCAATCAAAGCTGGCTTGGGATCTGTATAAGGGTCACCTGCTTGAACTGGCTTAATAAAAACAAAAAAACAAAAACAAAAAACCACACAATGACAAGTATGACCTCACAGCTACCGACAAACTAGAGATGCTGAAGCAAGCCTCTTCCAAAAACACCAGCTGCGGTGTTGACGCTGTAAAATGACCGAAGTAAACTAACAAAAAACACACAAGTAACAAATGGTCCGAGTGCTAAGTGAATATGCACTGATGGCGTGGGAGAAAATGTCCACAGGGCAGCAGGCTGGGTGCCAAGCACCCCATCTGAGCTGGTGGTCAGTCAGATGGAGGTGAACCTGATGTACTTTGGATGACCCAGCGGTAAAGACAGGGAGGCCACAAATGCAGAAGAGGTGGGCGTTTAGAGGACTGATGAGTTCACAGAATGGTGAGTGGGCAAAAAGGCATGTTTCTAAATGAATATATTATTCTATATTGTCTGTGATTTACACTATATAATGCTAACTAAATTAATAAATTAAATAGTATAAGAGTTTTGTATTTACATACATCAACATTTATAAATTCAAGTAGGCCCAAAAAAAGGTGGGGCAATCTTCTCTTTGGGAAACAAAGGGGGTCACATTCAATTGGGGTCGCCTTCTGCTTAGACCTTGGCACACGTGCCTCAAGGTCACCTCCTAGCCTGAGACGGCCCCGCTGATTCCACACCCTGCTCTCACGCCCGGCCATATCGGTGGCAGAGGACCCCTCCCCCCACATCCCGCTTGGTGTGGAGGTGCACACGCCTAAACTTCTGCAAGGCAAGGCTCTTTTTGCAAGTGAAAGGAGCCAAAAGAACGCAACATGGTCAACACTATTCTGGATGGGCGTCATGGTGGCAAACATGAACACTTAGAAATTGCTGGTGGCAGTAGAAACTGGTTTCAACTTTTGACAAGAAAATATATAAGCGCTACAAAACGGTTCATCTCCTTTGATGCGCACATGCGCGGGACCGATCTACTCGCGGTGGACGGGCTGGTGCTTCTGCAGGGCCGAGCGCCGCTTGAACACGCGGCCGCACTCAGGGCACTCGCAGCGCCGGGCCCCGCTGTGGGTGCGTCGGTGGCGGCTCAGGCCCGAGCTGCGGCGAAAAGCCTTGCCGCAGCGCTCACACTCATAGGGCTTCAGTCCACTGTGAATGCGCCGGTGCTTGATGAGGTCGGAGGGCCCGCGGAAGGCCTTGCCGCAGTCGCCGCAGGCGTAGGGACGCTCACCGGTGTGGATGCGCTGGTGCTCCAGCAGGCTGGAGCTCTGGCGGAAGGCCTTGCCGCACTGGCCGCAGGCGTAGGGCTTCTCGCCGGTGTGGATGCGTCGGTGTTTGGTGAGCTCGGAGCTGCGGCGGAACAGCTTGCCGCAGTGCGGACACCCATAAGGCTTGACCCCGCTGTGGATGCGCTGGTGCTCGGCCAGGCCACTGACCCCGCGGAAGGACTTGCCGCAGTCGTCGCAGTCGAAGGGCAGGTGGCTGGTGTGCACGCGCTCGTGCTGGAGGAGCTCCTGGCGCTCCAGGTAATCGCGGCATGACTGGCAGGTGAAGGGCTTCTCCGAAGCGGACAGCTTCTGGTGACGGGATAGGTGGGTGTTCCCCTTCAAGGGGCGCCCACACTCCTCGCACTCCATCGGCTTCTCACGGCTGTGCACACGCAGGTGCTGACTGAGGCCCGCATTCTTCTTGAAGCGCTTTCCGCATTCTTCACACTGGAACGGCTTCGCCTCTTTCTCCATTTGCTCCTGCTTCTCCGCGGCATCTTCTGGGGCATGGCTCGGGCCGGGCCGAGGCTCTACCACCACCACCACGTGGCTTTTTCTGTGCTCCCTGAACCCTGAGATACCCTTGAAGACCTTCCCACAATCACGACATTCCCAACCTGTCTCCTCACTGTGGATTCTCTGGTGCTGGACTAGGAGGGCTTTCAGGCGGAAGGTTGCCCCACACTCTTTACATGTGAAATGATGCTCGATTGGGGGCTCCCGGGGACTCCCTAACTTCCCCTCAACATCCCCATTCTGTCTGACCTCGGGGCTGGTGTTACTGGCCCTGGGGGAGCTGGTGGACGCCGTGGCGTGGGGCTGGGCATCCTCACTCATCATCTCACTCTGAGTCACTGAGCCGCTTTCTGAAAAGAGAAAGGCAAGACATGCAGGTCCACAAAGAGGGGGACAGGCGCCTTCTTGACTCTCTGTCACTAGTCACATCCCTCCAAGGGCAGCAGCTGAGCCTGACGCCCATCACGACAGGGTGATCAGTGTTCATCTAACCTTGTGACTCCCTGGATGGTGGGCCTAAGGAGAGGCTCCCTCCCTTCTAGGACTGAGTAAGTCTCAAGCCTCTCCCTCACTTGAAACTGCTTAACTGAGCCTTGATTTCCTCACTTAAAAAAAAAAAATCCCACTCACCGGCATGCTTAGCTTGACTCGTGATGAGGGATGGGTCTGAGACCAACAGTACTTGTCCCTGAACCTGGTGAGGGACCAGGTCTGGATTCAACTCCGGGACACCTGTGGAGGAGACAGCAAGTGGTCAGGGACGCAGTCAGCGATGACGTCCCAAGTTTTGACACTGGGGACTTGTACAACTGCTGTCAGGCTCCCTTCCACATTAGTCCACCTCCAGCCTCCAGCCCAGCCCTGGGGGCCCACCAAGCGCTCCTCCTCCCATTTCCAATTGCGGAGGACCATAAAGTTGGTGCTGGATTGGGGAGGGGACTGCATCCTTACCCACGGAGGTCACGTTCCCAAAATAGTCCAAGGTCCTCTGCTCTGGGTCTAGTCCTAACCACTCCCTTTTTGTGAGGTACTGTTCCACACCGTCAAGTGTCACTGGATCCTGAAAGAATTCCCAGGGTAATCAGCGCCTCCATCTCTTCTAGAAGGAGACAGGGGCAGTGCCAGAAGCACCAGGGACAAGAGACAAGGGTCTGGCATGGGTGTGTGCAGTGAGCACAGAACTCTAACCACAAGCCTCAAGAAGTCCTAGAAAAGCAAACCTGACCAAGTACCAGGAGATCTCCGCAGCAGTCTTGGCCTCCCACGGTCTTTCTAGGGCCCTGGATTCAATCACTTTCCAGGCCTGAAATTCCACTCCCCCACAGGTGCGATGGGGGCAAGCCCAGTAGGCATCCATTGCTTGCAGACTCCAGAGACAAGTAAAGGGAGGGAAGGAAACAGTTGGGTCGGAGGGGGCTCACCTGGGATGTCAGCATCTCAAGAGGGGCTGCCAGGGCCTGGTCTCCTGGGGCTCCATCCTGGGGAAGGGCAAGACCTTGGGGAGCAGGTGGTGCTAAGGAGAGTGAGAAGAGCCATGAGTGACAGCAATCCTGTTTCTGGGTCCCCCAGGTTAAGATTGGGGCTTTCCGCTCCCTGTTTCTAAGTCTTGGTATGTCTTCTCCTTCGTGGTGGCTCATGGCAGCGCCTATAAAACCTATCCCAAACACGGGGAAGAGTGGGCTGGCAGAGAATTACTAAAGGCAGGCCAGGCACAGCTGGGAGAAGACAGACCCAGGCAGGAGGACCATCAGGGGTGGGGGACTGGTTCTTGAGGACAGGCTGGTCACAGCCATCCTTCTAGCTCAGGAGAAGTAAACCACAAGAGGATCAGGAGAAAGAACTGGGGAATGAGACATCGACCAAGTCACTGGAAGGGAGACTGCCGCAACGTACCAGACCCAACAGTCAGCACCCAGCCAATGGAAAGGGAGGGTGGCAGACAAGAACATTTCTCTTACAGAGCTGACCAAAAGAAAAGTTGCAAAACGAGTCTTCTAAGAGCTTACAGCTGGGAAAATAAGCTTCAAAGAGAAGACCTTCAAAAAGTTGCTAAAGAAAAGATCTGAACAACATGTACACATTCCTTCCAAACTGCTAACTAGGTGAACTATTAGGCGACCCAAGCAGAGACCGGCACATACCAGACCTCCCACTTCAGTCTGCTCCACGGAATGGGAACATGGTGGCTACTGTGCCAAGGTCAGGCCTCTTTTGATTCAATTTATAATTAAATGAAAAGATAGCATTTTTGTCCCAGTTCAAGCACTACAAAACCCAGATACTCCAGAAAGACCTTGCTAAGGGATTAAAGACCTTATGTTATATCATATGTTACAACAGATGAACAAAGTAAAGTATTCTCAATAATCACCGGGAACATTCAGTAAAAAAAAACCCAGAGAGGCCAAGCCTTAGTACTTGGACTGATCTGCCCCTGGAGCTCATGCTACACAAGACATGTACTGTTGCTGTGAAGTGCCGTCAAGTCGGTCTGACTCACAGTGACCCTGTATAGGGTTTCCACGGAGTGGGAGGTGAGTGCGAACCACCGACCTTGTGGCTTATTCTATGGTGCTTCTCCTACAGTGCCACATCAGAACTCTACAAAAGCGGAAAACTAGGCCTCAAAGGTTCAAACTCATCCACAAATAACTGTCTCCCCAAACAAAGTCCAACACACTTCAAAGGGAGACAACAAAATTCAGACCCTCAGCACCACAATATTCACAATTTCCAACACCCCATCAAAAATTAAGTGAAATGCCAAGAAGGAGGAAAACGTGACCCATGGCAAGGAGACAAATCAGTCAATAGAAACAGACCTATTTGTGACTGATGCTAGGACTAACAACAGGCAAGGATAAATGCTAGTTGAACTCTTGCTGTTTTTAAGTGTTGTTAAGTGCTGTTCAGTCAGTTGTGACTCACAGCAATCATAGGGTTCCTGAGGCGGTAAATCTTTGTGGGAACAGAATGCCTCATCTTTCTCCTGTGGCTGGTGGGCTCAAACGACCAATCTTGTGGTTCAAAGTCCTGTGCTTATTACCTAGTTTAACTAGGTGTTTAAGGAAAAACAATGAAAAAAATTGAATGGGAAAAACAAAAATATTACCAAATGAAACTTTTAGAGAGAAAATATACAATATTTAAAATAAAAAATTCACTGGATTTGATTAACTGATTACATACCACAGGAAAAAAAATTAGAGAACTTGAAGACAGCCATAGAAACTATTCCAAATGAAGCTCACGAAGTTTTTTCTTTTTTGAAATAAACAGGGTTTCAGAGAAAATCATCTAGCATAGAAGGCGGAACATTCAGATAGAAAATCATCTAACATACAAGGTGGCTTTCATAAAGTTTGTGGAAAAGTCCCATTATCTTTTCATTCCACTGAACTTTTTAAAGACCTCTTATACAGATAGTTAGCATCTGAGAAGGTAAGGAATGAAGGAAGGGAATAGAAAAAGATATCTGAAGAAATAATGGCTGAAAATGTTTCCCAAATTAGATGTAAACTATAAATTCACAGATGCAAAAAGCCCAAGCAAACCTTAGCAAAAGTAACACACACATCAAAACCAATATAAAACCCACTAACATTAAATCCATCTTGACTTTATACAGGGGTTCTGGTGGCACTGTGGGTTACTCGTTGGACCCACAACCACAGGGCTGGTGGTGCAGTCTGCACCAGGAAAGCTTAGCAGGACTCCTGGAAACCCCATGAGTCGGAATTGAGTCAACGGCAATTGGTTGGTTTGTTTTTAACAGAAGGTGGAGTAAAACGGTTCTTGAGGGGTTGGTTCCAAGACTGTAACTCTTTATGGGAGCAGACAGCCTTATCTTTCTCCCTTGGATCATCAACTGGTGGGTTTGAGCCGACAACCTTGTGGTTAGCAGCCAAACACTTAGCCCACAAAGACACATCATGATCCAATAGCTGAGAAACTGTGATATAAAGAAAACCTGACGGCAGCAAGAAATAAAAAAATACAAAGATATTACATAGAGAAGAGTAACAGCATCTACTAAGTTTATCAGAGTCTTGGTGTGGTGTTATAGAATAAGCAGTGGACTGTGAACCATAAGGTTGGCGGTTCAAGCCCATCAGCTTCTTCTCAAAAACCCCATGCAGGGTTGCTAAGAGTCGGAACCAACTCCAGTAGACTTAACGACAATAACAACTTTTTATCAGAAAATGTCCAAGTCAGGAAACAAGTAAATTACATTTTTAAAGTACTCAAAGAAAACCAAACAAACACGAACTGCCAACCTACAAATCTATGTTCCAGAAAAATATCCTTAAAAAGTAAAGGCAAGAAGAAGAAAGCAGATGGGAGAACAATTAGACAGGTCTCAAGGGGCTAAGTGAGACAGGTAAAGAATGATACATGCACAACCTGGGAATGACAGGGTCCTGGGATACAGAGATCGAGCCATGGTTGGAATGGGGAAAAGGGGGGAATAATATTAAGATGCTTGGCTGTCTTTTGAATCTAGATTTTCCTTGCAATTTATTATAAAATAGACACTGGAGGGGGAGAGAAAGGAATAGCGAAAAGCATCACCATAGAATGTTTGTAAGTCCGTCTTTTGCCTATAACTGATTGGAATACCTAAAATGAGGCTACAATGTGCCCAGTGAAGGAGGCTTCCTGTGGAGCCTCTGCAATACATAAGCCTATAGGTGGAAGCCTGAACCACATCCAGATCTCCAGAGATGGGAAATTCCCACTTGAAAGGACAAGCAGACCAACCTGGAGTGGCTAGAAGAACAGA